AAGGCGTGATGGAAGTGAACAGGGTGGTGTATAAGGCTCGCTCTGACAGTTTTGCATGGGACATCCAGTACATTGAAGACACTGTAGGTTATAGGATTGGACGTCACGTCGTAGATTTTTTGGGGGTCCCGGAGCCCTGAGGGCACCGGTGTAGACGAAGTAAAATTAGGAGAAGTGACAAAGAGTAAGTGACATAAAAAGTGTTAGAGGAAGAAGCTTAGGTGCCAAGGTAGAGCAGATATGGAATACATAAGCACGCAGGAAGGTAGGAACAGGTTAATATGAGAAGAGATAGAAGAACAACTAGGACTGTAGGATTTAATGGTATATGGGTTATTTAAAATACATCTCAGAAGCGCGAAGCAACCCTCTTGCGATTCTGATTATATATGGGAACAGCGCAATAGAACGGAGGGCATCAAAAAAAGAGGCGGGATTGAAGCGTTCCAACGAGTACATCAACAGGTGCAGATGGTAAACCAATAAAGTTGATGGAACAGCTAAGACCTCAATATAAGGAAGGGCTAAGGAAAGAAGTTAGTAGCGTCATGAAAGAAACTGCCCTGGAACAATGGAGGCTAAGCAGAATGAGTTTAATATACAAGAAAAAGGCGGACAAAGCTTACTTAGCTAACTATTGTCACACAAACGTAACATCAGTAGTCTACAGGTTGGCCATGCATATTATCCAGGAGAGATTACAGGCATCCGTAGGATATGAAAATGTGATAGGAGAGCTACAAAATGGGTTCCGGAAAGACAGGAGGTTGGTCGACAATTTATTTCCATTAACAGAATGTATCGAGGTACCAGAAAATGAGTCTAGACCACTCTATTTATCATTTTTAGATGTTAAGGGTGCTTTTGACAATGTCCTTCAATCTAAGTTGTGAAACCTAATGAGGAGCTTAGATGTGGACGACAGTGTATAAAGACAACATGGTACTAATAACGCGGGAAGGAAAGATAACAACGCCAATAGAGATAAAACGGGGTCTTAGACAGGGATGCCCTTAGTCGCCATTGTTGTTCATGTTGAATCTCCAATGATTAGAGGAGAACTTAAGAAAATGCAATCTCGGGTTTGACCTTTAACGCGACAGACAAGGTAGAAAAATCAACCACTGCCAGTCATTACCGTGTGTGATGTATGCTGATGATATAGTGCTACTGGCCGATAGAAACATAGAGTTTTGGTCTCTAATAAATACATGTGGTGCAGAGGGCCACCGGTTAGGCTTAGATTTCACTAGTGAAAAATCAGCGGTCATGGTGTTCAATGATGACGGAATAGCAGAGCTAAATATACAAGAATTAGAGGTCGAGCAAGTCTATAAATACAAGTATCTAAGGTATGGATTCACGAGAGTACAGAATACCTCATTGAACATGCAAAAAGAGTAACTGGTTGGGGCAACAGAAATGCAGCTGTAATGAAAACTAGAACACTGTAGGACTACAGCAGGTAGGAGGTGGTGAGGGAGATGTGGAAAAGCTTTATGGTTCCGAGCATGACCTTTGCAGAGGCAGATTTGTGCATAAAACTCGACGTCCAGACAAGGCTAGAAATAAAGATACGTGGGGTAGGTAGATTGGCCCTGGGAGCAAATGTTAAAACATCGAACCAATCTATACAGGGCAGTATGGGATGGTTGAGGATAGGCTGAGAGAAATAGATTCAGAACGATGGGGCACAAAGATTTCTTAGCTATTTACACATGAGAAGCGTCAATACAAATGTAAGAAGGCGGACTAGAAAACTTAGATATAAATACAAGGGCAATAGCAGGGCGGTGGATCAGAAAATAAAGGTTAATACGAGAGTTAAAGAAATTAAGTGGGAGCTATGGGCAGCAGGCATGTAGAATAATTCGGTGTTGGAAATTTACAGATCGTTTAAGGAGGGCATTACTAAGGAACCTATCTACGACAATTCTAGGGGGAGCTGCTTCTAGCCCGAGTCGAAGACGGGAATGTTGCAGACTAAGACATATAGAGTTAGATATCAGGAAGTAGATACTGTATGTAGAGCTTGTGAAGTGGAGGAGGAGACGGCTGAGCACTTAATACTTTAATGTAAGTGGCTTCACCCTATAGAAGCCGAAAAGGCGACTAATTTGACAAGCGCTCCACAATTTAGAGACTGTGAGAAAAAAAATTGACATGGGAAAGGTGGAGATGTCCATGTTAAATTAAAAAAAGGACACTGGCTAGGTGGCGCAGGACACCGCCCGATTCAAAGGGTTCAACCTCATCAGTCCATCCATCCATCCATCCAGTCTTTAGGTTTAGAAGGCTGAAAATGTATGTTTTTTAGCACAGCGCATTGAGGTCGCAGAGAAGGAAAGTAGGCTACTCTGAATTGCAATTTTGAATATAAAGGGACCATATGAAAATGTATCTTATTAGTGCCCGTGGGTCATGATCAGCAGCTTAAAGGCAGAGGAGAAAATACTGGAGCTTTTTAAAAACTTTTACAGAAGTAACAGGGTAATAGTAACATAGGAAGACAATGCAACAAAGCCAGTTGAGGTAGAGGGAGGTTTAAGAGAATGATGCCCTTTATCACCGTTGCTCTTAAGTTTTACTTAAAAAGATTAGAGAAAAGGCTGGAGAATAGTGGTCGTGATTTTGACCTCTCATCCTACAGGGGAGGGTAAAAGATTAAACAGGCCTTACCGGCTCTTATATATGCGGATAATATAGCGATAATGCCTGATAAAAGTACAGATCTGCAGGAATTGATGAATATGTGTGATGCTGAGGCGAAACGTCTCGACCGAAAATTTGGTAACAATAAATCAGCTGTTATGATTTTGAATTATGATGAGAAGGAAGAGCTTAATATAAAGGAATTCGGGGTTAAAAAAGTGGACACGTATAAATAAAGGGGGATGCGTGTTCATGACAGTGTTAATTATCTTAGTGAGATTGAAAAATTTGTAATTGGTAAGGGCAACAGAAATGTAGTTGTAACGCTACATTTCTGTAGCGTTAAACATACATACCTGCTATAATTCCTTATGGGATTATAGCAGGTATGAAGTAGTGAGGAAAATTTTGAAGGGAATTATGGTGCCGAGTTTAACTTTTGTCAACGCAGTCCTGTATATGAAATCTGATATGCAAGCAAGGTTAAAAATAAAGCAACGCTTCGTGGGTTGGCTAGCGTTGGGAGCACATGGTAACACACCGATTTAAGGGATCTGGGGTTGTATGGGTTGGTCATTATTTGAGTGCAGCGAAGCTAGTACTAAGACATTGTTTAAAGATATACTAGAAGACATGGAGGAGGAACCTTAAGAACGGAAAACTTTTAGCTATTTGTACATGAAGGGCTTCGATACAAAGTAGAGGAAGCAAATAGAAAAATTTAGGTCGATATTTTTGGAAAATAATGGAGACGCAGATCAGGAAATGACAGTTAAGAAGAACGTTAAAGCAGCGGAGAGGGAAGTATGTTTAGTAAGGACGCAGATTAAATCGGCTCTATGGACTTAGAGAAAATATGATTGAGATTGCCAAGGAAAGTTGCTAGGAAAATTCTAGGGGAAACTCGTTGTTGTTTGAGGCAAGGACAGGGGTGTTGCGAACAAGGTAGTACAGAGCAAAATATCAGGACATAGATACAGTGCAAGGAGCTTGTAAGGAGGAAAGGAGACGACTGAACACTTAATACTTTACTGCAAAGGGCTTCACCCTGAAGTTGCTCAAGGTGATACGACTTAGCACAGGCTTTAGGCTTTAAAGGCAGCTACAGAAAAATAAACGCCTGGAAAGCGGAGATCGCAAAACACATTATCGGACTAGGGGTATAAGTCGACGAAAGAACAAAGTATTGTTTTTTTTTTTTTTTTTCATTTCAATCCTAGGGCTAAAAATGCCGACCGGGTTGTGTAGAGGCAACACCGTCGTACGGATGGTAACTTTCGGCTCTGGAGAGTGTTAGGTCAATGCTTGTGCTTAACGGCGATAGGGGATTCTATGTTCTTCTTGATTATTTCAAAATTTAATCGAAAATTAGTTGATTGTAGAATTTAGGAGCAGTCGGCTGGGTGGCGCAATCCGCCGCCCGATTAAAAGGGTTCAGCCGTATCCATCCTTTCAGTCACCCGTTGTATACAAGGACGGAAGTTACCTATACGTCAGTTCCTGGGAAACCGATATTGCGTATGTGCTGCGTGAATGTATCAAGCACGTTCGTTTTTTTTTTTTTTCATTTGTTATTTCATTTTCTTTTACATGTTTGTTTCAGATATGCTAGACCATTACAATATTAGCCTTCTGCGTGCTGTCGTCTTTGTCTAATGGGCTGTGCAATGCCTTCTGAGTGCATGCCACTTCTGCAAAATATCAAACGCGGCGCATACGCGAATGTCACTTGTTTGTTGTTTGCCCGACTGATAACCGCCAAACATCTGCATACCAACCTTTTCTTTTTTTTTTGCGAGGAAGTATTGTTTTGTTTTTGTTAGTCGCAGCCGCTGCAAACTTAAATTATTATCTAGATATGGGTCCATCAGATAAGGCGTTGCGGGGCCAAACGCGATTAATCTACATCTCTTTTGGCTCCCTCGGGAAAGGTCGCTGCTCCAGTGCCTCGAGGTTCCGACAGTTATATTCGCGTCGTTGAAGGTCTGATAACATAGGATAACATCGAACTAAATACCCGGTTGCGTCGGCGCCGCCGGTCATTTCTATAACTACGCTTTACTTTATGATGGACTGCAGCGGACGCTACGAGCCATTCCAGCCTTTCCAGCTCTGTTAACCTGACACGTGACTACGCGCCTCGTTGCGACCCTCCTGAAGGTCACGTGACACTCGCGCGGCGTTTGATTGGTTTCGATGGCTCGTCGCTTCCACCGCGGTCCAACTTGAGGTGAAACAAAGTACAGCCCGCGTCGCATTCGAGGCCGTTGTTGCAGTGTTCCATATGCGAGAGAGAAAGACGGACAGTGACGTAGATCATGTTACCGATGTCAGCTGAAACTGCAGCGGATGTTTGCCAGCTCTTTGTACTACCTCGACTGTGCCCTGGATTGAACTGTAGTTCCGACGCCAACGTGAGTGCGGCTGCAAAATATTTCGCAGTATTGTTTGTTTTGCATGGTGGAATGTCCGACAGTAGTTGCGACGGGTGAATCGGCTCGCTCCGACTTCAAATCGATAATTGCATTGTTTCAATTGCTCAAGGTTTCTACGTTGAAAGTCGTTATTGGCGACGCCTTCCGTGTAGGTAGGAGCTGGAAAATATGCCCGCTAAATTTAGCGTTATAATTTCTCTGCTTAACGTTATGACGTCACGGGACGTCATGACGTCACGTCCTGATGTTAAGGCAGGTGATATCCTTACGTCCATTAGGGTATTACGTCACGTGACACTGAATATCCCATGTCACGCGACGTCACGTCCCACAATATGACTATGACGTCGTGTGACGCCACAGTGCGACGTCACATGACTTTATGGTTGGTGTGAAGTGATTGTGTGGAGTCTGGATGCAGCAGGGAGTGTGCAGCACCTTGGCTGTCCCCCCCCACCGCAGTTCATTCGTAAAACATATCAACGACCTTAGAAATTGTTCTAAATATTGTCAGAATTAGAGCTTGTTAAGGTCTTGGAACGACGGTCGAATTGGTTATTTTAATTCACCATCTACGTTTAACTAAAGTTTAGACAGAACTCACCGTCTAGACGGAACGCGCGACCCCCACCATTTATCTTTCTGGTTGTCTTAAATCGAGGGCGATTCGCTCAAACTATACGCGCGTGTGAAAATGCGCAAAATACGAGAATCATGTGTATTCGCCATACCACACACAAATGCTCGCTTGAGAATTTGTGAATATGTGTATTATACACTTTTCTGCTGTATGGTTTCTCTAGGTATGCTGGTCACCACCGGAGTGTAGAGTAGTATAAGCATTCCAATCTTTGGTAATAATAAGATAACTATTAATAGGGACGCAATTACGATCAAACTTGTTTCTTTCTTATCTTTGTACAAGACTGAGGACCACCATAATCTAAATGCAAGTACTGCGACGTAATTAAGAGCGTGTCTCTAAGCTAGCAGACATTTATTTCTCATCGTATAATTAAGACCGGGATCCGAACTGGAGATAAACACAAAACGTGCAACTTTGTGTTTTTGCGTGTTTTTTTTAGCCTTTTTGTGTTTTGCTTTTATCACAGATAAGGGCTGCTGGCTTAAAAACGTTGAGCTATTTCTATTTCACTCCCTTATCCGGTGGCTCCCCTTCTGACAAAAAATATTCAGATTAATAAACTCAGCCACCCAATGTACGCTAATGTAAGGCACCTGTGCTAAATTTCGATCATATTTTATTGTTGGCGCGAGCATCCGTGACCCACGTCCTGGTCACGGATGTTCTGATTTTGAACTTGCCTCTACCCCTGGTAATATAATTTATAAAAAGCTCGTGATATATCATCCACGAAACAACACCGTATCCTGGAGCAATGTGCTATCTCCTGCCCCTTGACTTTAAGCCTGGCCGCTGTCCTATCCTCGCTCGTGACGTCACGGGTACATTTTTCACACTCGGGCAATACCCCTTTGATGGTAAGGCCGTAGTGCTGCACATTCGACGTCACCTAAGAAAGGCCAACGCGGAGCAGAAATTGAGCACGAGCACCAGCCAAGCGCAGACGCAGCACTCGTCTCCAGTCACTTAGCGTCGACTTTCTGTAGATGAGGCCGTAAATTCAGCACAACGGCCATGTTAAGAAGGGGGTGTTGCTGAAGGAACCTAAATACACCCTTTACGAAATTCACTGCCGTCTGGTGGGTCGAATAGCAGTTTCAATTTTGACAAGCTAATGGCGGTCAATAAATTGTACTTCATCGGGCACCGTCACTTTGGCACGCAAATGGAAGATGAGAATTTTGGTTCTTCAATCACCTCGTAATCTCCTTTCTTTATTTGTTTCAGTTTCGATGGTGTGAACATAAGAACTGACGACTACAAAGTGGCGAGTCATAAGCGCCTTGACAAAATTTTCCTTATCAAAAGGTTTAGATTTAAACTTGTGAGAATAAATTAGGGGGATCGGTGGCCGAGTGGGCTAGCGCACACCAGCTCGGAGCACGTGGAGGGAAAGCTCGCGCTACAGAACCCAGGGATCCTCGGCTCAATCCCCCTCCCCTGCCCGTTTCGATCTGGATGAGCATCGTACCGGCGTGCGGTCGTGTATCACTACTGTGGGGTGCATCTTAAAGACCCCAGGCTGGCGGTTGTACTGCACTGGCTAAATTGCTCATCTACAGCGAGTGACTCGTCGGAACTTTGAAATGGCTGACCAACTACACCCTGTATAAATAAATATCAATACAACCCCAATTACTTTTGAGAATAAATTGATTGGACTCCACTCCGAAATAAACGCTTACGCAGTCGTTGTATTTAAAGAATGGAGAAAAATTGGGCGAATTCGGTATGCATAATTGGAGCGTCGCGTTGTACTGAAGTCTAGAACGCACAGGCCTCCTATATCCTCCGCTTGGTCGTTGGTATTCTTGTTGTTGTGGTTTTTTTCCCGGAAGTCGACTTTTGGCACTTACCCATTGGGCGGATAGTCCAAGGATCTGAATGGTTACATAGATTTTTTTTTTTTTCTGTTCTTGATCCGCTTAATCCGCTTGGTGGTACGTTCCACTTATTTCTTCATCGCCCTCAAGAAGACCGACATTGGTTCGGCACAGATGCCGTATACTCAAGATGATGATAGTAATCACTATTGCCAGACTGAATCTCAGAAAGGGTCTAAGGGGACCGAAGGTTTCTTTACTTCATTTACAGCAGACAACTACAGGGTGTCACAAAAAAAAATTTACACGGTCTTTTTTACCGCAAAAATAAACTAGACATCGCCAAACGCTCATTCTCCGCCCGAAGGTAGCGCTAGAGGTCACAACCAGATGCCAAAGTTTCAGCCCGATCCGATAACTTAATCAAAAGTTATAAGTGATTTTCTGAAAATTTCAATGGGAAAATGGCGGCCGACGGTGTTTTCAAACACATGGGGCTCTATGGCGCCAGAAACTGAAAACAGGCAAAAATAGGCTCCATTTTCCCATTGAACTTTTCAGAAAATCACTTATAACTTTTGATCAAGTTATCGGATCGGGCTGAAACTTTGGCATCTGGTTGTGACCTCTAGCTCTACCTTTGGGCGAAACATGAGCGTTCAGCGATGCCTAGTTTATTTTTGCGGTAAAAAAGACCGTGTAAATTTTCTCTTGTGACACCCTGTGTATACAAAAGGCTATGTAAATACAAAGACGTCCGAGATCCCCCAACACTGGTATGCTGCCGCGGTCTCGTGCATTTTCTCGATCCGCGTCTCCTCTTCCTCGTCTTCTTCTGCGACCGGTTAGGTCACCAGCTGCAGGTCTAATGGTATATTCCCTAAGTCAATCAAGGCAGTTTCATCTTGAATATGTCAGCCACGCTCGCATATTTGCAGTACATTTCTTAATACTGGAATTTTTTCGGAGAAGATGAATATAGGGCAAGTCTGTACAATTCGCAAAAGTGGTTCACATAATAATTTGAGCTATAGAACTCTATCTATGCTTTTTAATTTCTCAAAAATAGTTTATAATATGTCAGATACTAACGTCTTATTACGTTTTGTGATAAACATAACGTCGTTACAAATCACAAGTATGAATTTTGAAAAACGCAAATCTAATGAAATGGAACTACTGGACAACATAGAAGATAGTTGGGAAACGTTTTTAGACTTCAAAAAAGCCTTTGACTCCATTAAGCACGACACCCTCCTGCGAAAACTGCCATTATACGGAATAAGAGGCAGAGCATTGAACTTTATAAGCAGCTACTTAGCACCACGTTTTCAATTTTCACCTCTTAATAACGTGCGCCCCCCACTAGCTGAAATTCAGTATGGCGTGCTGCATCAATCGATTATCTGGCAACTACTCTTTATTATGAACATCAATGACATTGCAATTATCTCGCCAAAACCTGATATAATTTTATATGCGGATAATACAATTGTATTTTTTCAGCAGTAAATGTTTAGATGCACTAGAAAGAGATATCGAAACTTGGCTAAATCGACAGAACTTTTGGTTATATTCCATTCAACTTCAGTAAAATACGTCAAAAAATAAATTTACAATTTTTATATAAAAAACATACGCAATAGAAAAAAAAATGTGTGTCTTCTCAATTTTCAAGTATTGAATGCGTGGAATCATAAAAATTTCTCGGTGTTTTCTTTTCACTCAAATTTAAGCTGGACAGCCCATGTGAGCGATCTCTAAATACAGATTGCTCCATCAATTGGTATAATTTTTAAATTAAAATATCTTCTTCCAGGGTGGTTAAAACGACTACGCGTATACATTATTGCTGATTCGCACAAAATTGTAACATTGTTTTTTTTGTTTTTTTTTGGTTTGGGTCACACCGAAACGAACTAACTTGCTTCCCACTGATTGGCGCTCCATTCAAAACGCCTTTACTTCTATTAATAAACCGATAGCTTTATTTGGGAACCATCCGCAGGCAATTCTTGCTGGCCTTTGTCTCACCGCATGACGTCACATTTTCACGTGACAACAAGCTCCTCGCTAACTTTAGCGGAGAAATGGACGTGGAAGTTTGAAGTAGTGGTGTCATGTGATAATATGACGTTACGTGATGTAATTTGCGCTAAATGTAGCGACAAAATTAACTTCACGTGAACTCAGGTCACATGACGTTCTCACGAAAAGGTGACGTCGCGGTCTATAAAAATCGACCTGAGAATCAATCTGGAACTTTCACATGACCTCACTGTGCTACGTAATCTCATAGTGCCACGAGACTTGACGATAACAATTTACCAGCAAACTTTAGCGGAAAAATACCTTCTGCTAAGTTCCGATAGCTGCTCGTTAAAAGCCCCATCCAAGTGCCATCTCCTCTTCAATTCCATTTGACGTCATTTCTAAGCCGGTAAAATTTCTTCCGCTACCGGTTTAACGCAGAGTTGTAAGTTGTTCCAACGATGGAAGCTCTAAAGCCTTTTACGTGCTTTTACTTGTCCGAAATCTCCGCGATAAGGTGCACTTCACGGACGAGACTCCGCGGAACGTTCCTCGACTCAGATTTCCTCTGATTTGCAATCTTCACATTTGCGACGTTATCCCGATATACTATCTCTTCTTTCTGTGTTGATAGGGGTAAAACATACTCCGTTTCATCTTGACTGTAGCGTCCAGTCGCGAAAAAACCGTCTCAACGTTACGTCTAAAATTGCGCGAGTTTTTTTTTTTTTTTTTTTTTTTTTGTTCTGCAATGTTGATACTGCGAAATGAAAAAACGACGAAACGCGTTCCAGCTTGAACAATTCGGTTTGTACCCCCTTTCTGTTCTACAGTAGTTCACACTGTTTATCTCTGTTACTCAAACATTTCGTGGTTTATGCTGTTGTTTTTGTTACTATGAAGCTAAGTATTATATTTACTGCACACACTTCTAGACTGCTTCCGTGTAAATAATCGTCCGAGTGATAACTCCTCTCATTTCGGTGACTAAATGTTGTCCGCCAAATTTTAAACATTTATAATTTTATTGATTTATAATTTACATGCATATCACTGCGTTACTGTTGTGCTCTTTATCAGAAGTTTATACGCTGACGCCCGCAAATGTTTATATTGCCGCAGCACAAAAAAAAAGTATCTCTAAACTTTGCGTTATACTTGATCTTCGAGGCTATCTGGGCTAGTGACATGAGCTCATGGCTTTGTCTGGCTTCTTGTTTGTACGAGAGCGCTTGAAGATACACCTTTTAATTCGATGCACAGGAAAGCGCCAGAAGTTTTAATGTACACAAACCATTAGACGTACAGTAAAGAAACGCCCGATTCACATGGCAAGATTTTGCTTTCTATTTTTCGACTGTGACGCCAAACACCACGGCTTCCAACACGTTTTTTTTTCTTTTTTTTTTATGCCACACCAGTTACGCCGCAGCTGCGTGATTCTAAGTAAAATGCACCATGTCATTCAACCATAAAGTATATGTTTCCGCTTTACTTCGTTTCGCTTTAAGCCCGACCACAGCCGACGCTCCGTGACGAACCAAAAGTGCTTCGTCACGGCGCAGATTGTTTTTGTGCGTTTCCTACCACCGGCTAGAGTTAGACGATGCACTTTTTGGCGCGCCTTGAATAGCTCCATAGAATTCTAGCGTTTGCTCCTGTCAGACATAAAGTTAAGCGGAGCATAGAGTTACTTCGTTCGTGCATTCATTTTTCCTTGCGGCTGTCAGTGTCAGAAACTACCACAGAGGGAAAGAAAAAAAAAATATTTTCCCCTCATAACTTCTTTTTTACGTTATTTTTTTTTTCCGACGAGTGCGATATCAGAGTTAGCGCCGGCGCACATGGAAGCTTTTGTAAGGGCTTATCAAACGAACGTCCGTCCGCCGTATCCGCAGGTGCTGCGATGTCAGCTCTCCCGAGAACGAGGTCGCTCGTAGTTCGGAATGCGGGAGCCGGCGTTTCGCTCTAACTTCCCCCAAAAAGTACGCAATGATCTCGCTGCGCGCGCACACACACGCAATCCTGCTCTCGCAAACGGATATCTATCATCAGTGTCAGATTTCTGAATGCCTAATCGGATGTTCTTGTCACTTTGTGTCATCCCTTTTTTTATTGCGTTCAGGAGGAACGGACACGGATCTACAGCGCACGAGAAGCATGGAGGTTAAGTTCGACAAGATTCACTGGCTGCCATGGGTGTTCGTGTGTACGTTGACCTTCAGCGTGATGATCCTCTACGCGTGGAGTGTGCTCATCGGGGACGTGCCAGTCTTTCTGCCATACGTGAGGTCAGTCGTTGTTTCTTACTTTTTGCTTCTCGAAGTTTTTGTACTTCGTTTCATCACATGTCCGAGCGCGGTTGGAGGCACGAAGAGGTACAACAGCGAACAGAGGTAGTAATAAAAGCGTACGTTACTGGGTCTTCCCTGCGCATGATTGGTTTAGCGATCAAAAAACAGGTACAGGAGAAGTATGACGAACGCCATGACGTTGCGCTTTTGTCGCTGTTTGAGTGGCTTCATCCGCTCGAAGTGTCGGCTGCTCCCGAACTTATTGTGACACAAAGTATAAGCTAAGGCTTCCTAATGTTGAAGTATATGCTACCGAAATAATTTCCGTGTTTATTTTGGTTCGAGCTTGAGGATCATCCTGATTTTGCGTCAACAAAACCTGTTCGTCATCTAACACAGTTACTGTTGTTATATTATAAGGAAAATCTATCGCATTCCTAATAAGGTAATCGTGTTATTTATTTTTGGTTTCCACTATCCAGTATTTGTTGCTTGCTTCTCGAGCATCATCTAAGTGTTCCTACTTTCAAACTGTCTTTGACGACAGTGATTTCGTTTTAATTATTTCTCCTTACGGCCTGAAACCCAGCTTGCTTTTATATCAGAGGAATAAATCGGGCGTCTAAAGCACATGCTGTAGTAGTAAAACAAAACACACACAAAAACGATTACGGTTTAATAAGGCCGTCGCCTTTTTTGTTTACTTTTATTTGTTCGTGGAACGCTACACCGAGCCACAACTTTCCGCTTTTCATGGCTCCACTTTCGTTTGGCGACGGAGATATCATCTTACTTTGTACCACGTTTTTCAAATAAAAACAGAATGTTATGGGGCTGTATGCGTCAAAGCAGCGAAGGGCATCTGGCTAACCGTAGCGAAGTTCTAGGAATCGCTTTAGGCCACATAACACGTGACCTGCACTAACAAGTGCCCATCAGACTGCGAGTCCCTCGGCCTGAATTTACAGCGTCTGTTTTGTCGCATAAGACGCACGTACTTGGAATCAATCTAAAACAAGTTTACAGCTGCATTCTGAACGTTTTAACATAAAACAAAGCGCAAGTATTTTTTTCCCCTTGTACATTTTACGTTTTTTCACGTTCGTACGACGGTAAACAGGAGGTTTGGAGAGCTATTTGCGGCTGCGTATCGCCACTGTGAGAGAGTAGGTGCAGGTTATCGTAAACAAAGAGAAATATATGGTGGTTGCTCTTGACGTTCCGCTGCTGCATAGCCATTATATCGCTCGCTCAATTTTCGTGTTTTCGCGTTTTATGATATTTTTGTGATGAATCAAGTGGTCTGCCATTATCTATAAAACTCTTCAGGAATTATTGCCGAAAAACGCCTACTCGCGGGGCCGTGGACGCGTCCGGGTTGGCTGATATTTTGCAGAAGATAACTACTGAGCAGAACGCGTTGAAATTGTCCAGTAGATAAAGAGGGCAGCGTTCAAAGCGCGGTAATTGGAATAATCTATACAGGGTTTCTCGAGCGCTATTTCGGCGCCAATAAATTCCTATAAACAAGGAAGTGAACAGTGTGCCAGGACATTTTTCACATTGGTGTTTTTTAGGTGTGCTTTGATCATACTCAAAACTTGTGATTCTAGGATCAAACAGAATTAGACCGTCGAGTTGACGCTGCTACTAGGTAATTTTCGTAGATCGTCCTGATACCTCAGATAACGTCACCCGATAAAGATACGATGCATCCGTAAAGGCGTCACCAGAGTATCGGGTGCCGTTGTCGGTGTTATTGGAACATTCCACTGAAGCTGTACTCACATATTGTGCCACACGCGCTCGGATTTCCTGGATCTACATTTGGATGTTGATCTTTAAGAAGCTTTCAAATTTCTATACCATGTGCAATATGTGAGTAGACGCGTCAACCCGACGGTTTGCTTCTGTTTTCCTCCCGCCCATAGGAAAAAAAAAGAAAGAGCAAGTTTTTCTTTTCTTGCATTTTCTACCAGAATCCTACGCTCACCAAATTTGAGTACGATTAATGCACCACCTAAAATTTCCTTTGTGAAAAGTTGTGTGGCACTCTATTCATAGGCCTATGTATAATAACTTTTTGTTTACGACCAAAGAGCACTCGCGAACACCCTGCGTAAAGAGAAAAGTTTCGGCGAATCTGACGCGATTACGAACGCCTGCTGGCTCTGTTCGCATAATATAATGTACGCGGGTCCGGACGTATATTTTTTAAATTGTTTTATATGGTACTCTTCAAAAGGTGTAGGAAACGTAGTCAAAAAGAGATTTTGCAAAAGAAAACATGCAATTTTTAGAGAAAACAATGGTTTGGTGCGCCAGAACGGCTTTTTCGGTTTTTGATGTTTTCGTTTATGTCATGTTTGAGGATGCCTACTACGCAAATTGCAAATATCAGAAATCTCAAATATTTTTCACTTACAATAGATTATGGGAACTATTGAGAGATATCTGTACTGCATTGTGGAGGTTATATATTTCGCGTCAAAAATGTAAAAACATGGCACCTTCGGCGTTTCGTCACTAGGTTTTTGAGCCCATATCTTCACATACGGAATAGCTGCAATAACAAAAAATGTTGTTATATATTAATTTTTACTAAAACACTATTTCGAATGATATATAAATCGTTGTTTTACCTCAAAGGATAAAATTTTATGTCGCTCCAAACTTGTTCTAAATTACGAAGTTAAGAAATTTCAATGTGGAATGTAAACAAAAACATCTTCGATTTTTCTGAAATTTTGTAGTGATAGTTCTCTACCATACTATTGTGTGTATTTATGAAAAACATGTTGCATCATTTTGTTCCCTCCGAAGTTACAGGACAGCATAGTGTACCTTCCACGCAGGCATTTTTACCTAATGCCACAGACGGGATTGTATTTTGGTACCGTGCATTTTAGGACTAGATATATTTTTCTGCTGTATTCCAGTATTGGGCTCAAGTCCAAGTATCGTACTAATTAAAACATTGACCGCGTTGTTCGTCCTTTTAATTAATTTAACCAATAATCTTGTTTTACTCTTTAAAATAACAACTTATATGAGCTTTAGCTGAATGTTTTACACAAAAACGGGACAAAAACTTGTAATTGATACTACTAGATTTTTTTTACAGAACGTAGTAGGAATTGAGGTACAGTGGTGCAAAATATATGCACATATTTATACATTCGCGATGAAGCCGAAATGTTTGAGGAACCAAGCTTCTTACTCTGCTTTCATGACGGTTGTACGTCCGACTGGCCAAGGTAAATCTGCGACTTCTCCGGCGCTTTCAGCAAGATGTCCGTTAAGGTTTAAAATATCTGGAATTCTTTATTCGAATGAAGTAAAAAAAAAATATGAAATTGAAAAAGTAAAAAAAAAAAATGAATGAGGAAAGATATTGAGCGCACTAGTTGCCCGCGTTGACATAAGGGTGTATAAGAGAAGTCCGTTTTTTCCCCTCTTTAAACCAGACTGACGAGTTTCTCTAGCACTCACGTGTATTGTAATAGTTCCAAAGATTGCGAGAAAATCGGTCAACTCCAAATGTGGCAAAAAGGGAGTGCACGAACTGATTGACGCTGACTCACGGTCGCAGCGTTACGGGAGGAGTATTCGAAAGCTCTTGTGGATCAAGTTCAACTCCGGTTCTTTGAATGTCTTAGCCTAGGTAGGTGGCAGCGAGCTCATCTTGAAACAGCAGACAAAACTAGAATCGAATTCTTCCCGGAAAAACAGTGGATAACCATGTTGTCGATGTATTTAAAGGACGGCGTTCTACCGAAGCGGAAGCTGTTTTCTCGCCTTGCATAAATCGGAAAGCAGAGCAAAACCACTAAGGCTAAAGACCCACACGACCACCCATGAAACCAATTTTAGACTCACGAGGATTGAAAGGGATCCATCCGTTGTAACCCTCTCCACGTGCAAACAGTTTACAGAGGGATATATCATCGCTTTGACTCACTGGCGGCACCGGTGTTAAGAAACACTTTTGTCAATATACTATCGTGGCCAGGAGCCAACGCCGGCGTCAAAATCGAAATTCCGCGAGCCCTAAAAGCGACACGTGCAATACTAGTGGCACCGATTTAATCAGCGCAGATTCTGAAAGGTGGTGGCTCAGACAGAAAGCAAACCCCACAAGCTGATGGTGGCCCCTCTCGTGAACTTGAAGAGGCGATTTAGGGATACATCCGGCCAATTCGTTGAAAGCCCATTGGTCGACAGACTACTCGAAGAAGGACGATTTGTCGAATACGGCAATTCGCCCCAGGCCAATTCGCAGAACGCAGAATCGAGCGAAAGTGCCCGTTCGTCGAACTAGATGGAACGGTCACAAAGAGTTGCACAGGGTGTCTAGGGTTACCCGGGGACGTTGGGGGTCAATAATGGGACCCTGTTTGCCAAAAATAAAGGATTACAAATTCAGTTCTCAGAATTTACAAGGGTCCGGTAGCGAATCGTGAAAATGCGGGTCGTTCAAACTAATAAAAGCCGGGCTCTGCAGGAAGACGTTCACTTGACTCTATCATCATGAAATGTGGGAAGACCGAGTTAAGTGCTAATCTTCTGATCATGAATGGTAATATGTACACTTGTAATACGCGTACAGCCAACACCACCTTTCTGTTGGTACAACCACCACGGCGTACTGGATTTGTCAGCAAAGAAACGCCTGTAAGGCTACGTTGCCGAACAACCTCAAGGGTGCGGCTATCGCAAGAAGACAATAAAGCCGGTTTTCGGAATTATTCTTTCTAGAACTTTGTAAAGACAAAATTTGTGCTGAGCTAGAAAAAGCTCACATGCAATTATTCTTTTTGACCTCCATAATTTTTAAGCTACATCATTTAGTCACGAATTTACAAAAAGGCTGCACCCAGGAAGCAGTTTATGTTCGTAAATCGTCGCCCCTTTTTCCAATGACAACAATCATATTTACATTTGCAAGTCGGCGAATCGTGGTGAGATTCCCTTCTAGGCTCAAAAGCACATCACTC